TCCGCCCCGTGGATCCCTCAATGAATGTAACCCATGCACTTTTAAAGTAAAATTAAAAATTTGCTTATGTACCTTTCCTTTAGCAAAACCGCCAATAACAACAGCGATCGGTTTCTCATCAGTGCTTTCAGCAAACTGCCTACAGCTCATGTATTTGGATGCCTGATACGATGTTGACACTTTTCGGCAACCAGTTGGCAGATGAATGGATACGGGGTTTTTGATAACCCGCAACAATTTCACTGAACTATCAGCTGCTCGTATTGATAATTTGTGCAATAATTGTACTGAAATTCAACTGCTGTTAGTACATCGCTAGTGTCTATTATCACCTTAATACTACTAATTTTTCGACTTTATTAATTTTAGTTTTACTGAATGTTGTAGAAATTTTAAAGATACAAACAGTGAATATCATTGGCTAGGAGACTGGAAGAGAAATGGGGCCTGAAATCTTCTATTTGTTAACATATGCAGTTTGTTTGGCATTACTGGCCCACCACCGTGAAGAGGAACACAATTGAATTTTGACAATTAATGAAAAACTGGAATTGGCATTTAGATCTCCCAAATAAGCAAGCCTGTATGTACAGTGACTTAGTAGCCAGTCTGTGTTTCATCCCTGAGCTGCAAACACCGATGGCAGAAACAGTGTGGAGTGGGTGGGAATCATCAATACAGTGCCCCATTCAGCCATGTTAAAAGGAACATGTGGATTACCGAAGGAAGAAGAAGAAGAAGGACAGGAGGGAAATAAAGGTGAATATATACAAGATTAATGTTGCAGCATTAGAAGGAAAAGTAAAACTAACTAAAGTTAAGTACATGAAAGAAATAAAAATTTTACGAAAAAAAAGTGGAGTTCAAATTCTAATAATAAAAAAAAAGTCTGAAGTGCATTAAGAAGTAACTAATAAAAAACAAACCCATTAAGCCAGAAAATCGATCGAACGTTCTTGGAATGCGTGTCTGAGGATTCACTTCGATTAGCACATTGTTAGCAGTATGTATGTAAACTTGCAATAAGCCAGCGCGATTC